GTAAATGGAAATGTAGAAGCACACAGTACACACAGCCTTGGTGTCTTACTGTGCTCGACATTGTGTCTGTGCGAGTCACATGATGTGTGTAGTGATTGTATGATTATCATAATCCATTCATTTTATTATTGATGGACATTTGTGTTTCCAAGTTTTGGCTGTTTTATGAAGGATGTGGCCAAGATTGTTCTAGGACATGTCTACTGGTAAACAGGTGCTGGTTTCCCTTGGGTGTATATCCAGGAGTAGATTCCTTGGGTCACAGCCACATGTATATTTACCTTTAGTAGATACTGGGCAGGCATAGTTTCACTGTAAATAATTAATTGGCTAGTGAGTCATTCCCCAGACTCTGGTCACTCCTGCATAAACTGAAAAGTTCAGCCTCTGGAGGCCTCAGAGCTGAGAGTCATCGACCTGTTATAGCCCGTGAGCCCCCGCCCCCAGTGTAGCAGGCACTGTGTCCTGTTCACGTCTCCTAACAGCTTTGAGAAACATCCTGCCCCATTTCACGCTGAAGAAACAGCTGCCCGGCCCCTGGTCACCAGCAGAGGTGCATTTGGGCTGAGCCCTGGCACCTGGTCCAGCGCTCTTCCCCCACACTTGAGTTGCTCCTGGGCCCCTCCCATGGCCCTTCAGCCCCCTTCTTGGCAGCAGGTGTTGACCTGAGGGCAGGGTTGGGCCATAGGGCATCCTCCAAGCCCCCCTCACTGTGGCTTCTCTCCTACAGGCACAAGCTTACTGCAGGAGGTGGTCTACCTGGTGAGCCAGGGGGCTGACCCTGATGAGATCGGCTTGATGAACATTGACGAGCAGCTGCCAGTCCTGGAGTACCCACAGCCGGGCCTGGACATTATCAAGGTACTCTGGGCAGGCAGCACCCAGCCCCTCCTGGCCCTTTTGGGGTGTTTCTGCAGTTACCCCCCAGTGAGTGACAGTTGTTTCTGACGGGACTCAAGGGGCTCTGTGGGTGACAGAGAGCAGATAGCCCCAGATAGCCAGGAGAGGGAAAGTGACAGGCCTGAGCCCAGGACTGGTAACCCTGGGATTTGCTCAGGCTGTGGGTGACACATCAGTGTTGGGGAGTCTGCGAAGTGGAAAGGAGGTAGACGCCTGGGGGCGGTGTACGGGCTGAGGGACCATCAGTGGGAAGCGGGCTCTGGGCCTCCCCCCGTGACTCTCACATCTGTCCAGGAAGCTGGGTGAGATGCGTTGGCATCAAATATTGGTTATCAAAAAATGAAATAAATGTTATCCTGAAGTCGCCTGGGGGCGGTGTACGGGCTGAGGGACCATCAGTGGGAAGCGGGCTCTGGGCCTCCCCCCGCGACTCTCACATCTGTCCAGGAAGCTGGGTGAGATGCATTGGCATCAAATATTGGTTATCAAGAAATGAAATAAATGTTATCCTAAAGTCCTGTTCATTCATTCTACTCTTCCCATGCATCTGGGATTTTTTCTCTCCTCCCCGTCCCCTCTGCACCTCCAGTTCAGGCCTCATCCTTGCACAGACCACACCAGTAGCTTCGGTCTCACCTGTCCATTCCCACTAGAGGAGTGTTCTGAGATACAGCTCTGGGAGTGCTCGCCTACTGCCTGCCTATTTTTTCTCTCCTCCCCGTCCCCTCTGCACCTCCAGTTCAGGCCTCATCCTTGCACAGACCGCACCAGTAGCTTCGGTCTCACCTGTCCATTCCCACTAGAGGAGTGTTCTGAGATACAGCTCTGGGAGTGCTCGCCTACCGCCTGCCCCATGTCATGGCAAAAAGTCCCTCTGTGGCTCTTGAAATAAAGTCCTGTGTGAGCCAGGCTGTGTCTGTAGATAGTGGGTCATGTTCGCTCGCTGCCTCTGCCCCGTACCTGTGCCAAATCGGTATGGCTGTGCTGAGGGCCTGCCATGTGCTGGGCCCTGCTTTTGGCAGTGGGTACAGCGGTGAACTGACAGCAGCATGTCACGGCCTTACAGAATGGACAGGTGTGGTTGTCACACAGTGGTCAGCACTAAAAGGGGAGCAGATTGGGGAGGGATGGGGCAAGCCTATTGGCGGGGATGTCTGAGGAAGGTCCTGAGCAAGGGAAAGGCCGGGTGAACACAAAGACCCCATGGTCCTAGGGGCCTGGCTTGTCCTGGAGTAGCAGGCAGGCCTGGTGGCTGTGGGTGCCAGGTACCAGGGCTCTGAGCAGAGTGGCATGGGAGCCAACGATGTTCTACAGCAAGGGCATTGGGGCTGGGTCACGGCGATAACCCAGCAGGTGCCCTTGGTGACCTGGACCATGCTTCCACTGCTGCCTACCGAGGCTGTTGCAGGCCTTCCTCGCTGGGGCCATTCTGGGCCACTCCAGGCCAGACCAGTGGCTCCCTGGTTCCTGAGCAGACCTCTGTGGCTGTGGTGGGTTGACTCCTCGGGCTGAGGACAGGGACCCCTGTCTGTGCCCGCAGGGTCCAGCCTGGATGGTGGTCATGTCTCAGGTAAGAAGTTAGTCAGGTGATGGGCTAGGTCTGAGACCCTCCTGTTCCAGGCCCTTAGAAAGGCCCTGAGAGGAGACCATGGAATGGTAGCCCTGCCTCCCCTCAGAGCCTCCCCTCTGACCCCACGGCAGGAACTGACGTCTCCCCGCCTCATCAAGAGCCACCTGCCATACCGCTTCCTGCCCTCCGACCTGCACAACGGTGACTCCAAGGTAACCTGCAGCACCCTCCTCACATCCCTCCTGTGACAAGTCCCCAACAGGAAGAACCACAGAGCCTCGTGCATCCCACACCATGGGCCACATGCAGTCTGTGCTGTGGGCTCACGTACAGTCCATGCCACAGGCAGTCCACGCCACAGCCCACATACAGTTCACACCACGGGCCACGGACAGCCCTCCCCACAGGCCCACATGCAGTCCTTGCCAAGGGCCATGGACCGTCCACGCCATAGGGCCATGCCCCTCACTCGGCCCGGGAGCTCTCTACCCAGAGAACTTAAAATGCAAAGGCCTTTTAGAGGCTGTCTTGAATCATGCGTCTCTAGCATTTGAGCCAGGTTTGTGGTGTTGATTTTTCCCTCACGACTGAACACGCGTGTGACCAGCCCAAGCCCGGCACGTGCTGCGTGAGGCGGGGGCGCTGCTGCTTTTGCTCTCCCTGGTCATCCCCGTTTTCTCGGCTGTGTTGAGTTTATGAGGCTGTACCTCTCAGCACCAGTATCAGGATGGTCACTTTTCTGTCTTCTGCTGATTTTAAAGTAGTACTAGAGGACAGAAATAGGATGGAATACTCGAGTAACTGTCCTGGCGAACACTACTGTATTGACAGAGCACATCTTTGCCGAAACAGATTAACAGCCAGGAAGTGTGTGGTGGCCTTGCACGTGGGTTTGAATTTGACGTTGGAAACGGTGTCAGCTGATCATGTACAAGAAAGGCAGGCTGAGGGTCAGTGGAACCTGTGCAGGACAGCCCAGCAGGGAAGGAGACACCCACTTGCCCGTTGCTGTCCCCACAGGTCATCTACATGGCACGCAACCCCAAGGATCTGGTGGTGTCCTATTATCAGTTCCACCGCTCCCTGCGGACTATGAGCTACCGAGGCACTTTCCAGGAATTCTGCCGGAGGTTTATGAACGATAAGTGTAAGTGTTTCAGCCTGGGCTCAACGTTGGGATAGTGGCAGTCAGTCATTCACGGAAGGCTTGGCATGTGCTGGGTACGTCACCAGCACTGCCTGAGACACTGTCTCCGGTTCTCCCAGTAACCACAGTTAGGCCTGCACCCCACTGTACAGGTGAAGACGCCGAGGCCAAGGGGTGTTAGAAACGTGTGGAGATATAGAGCTAGGGTGTGGCAGAGCATCTGACTCTAGAGCCCTTCTCTCCCACCACACTTGGGGTTTCTGAGAAGTCCCCCAATTAAAACATCCCTCTTTGCTGCCTGGGTTCCAGACAAGGTGAGCATGAAGACAGTAAAAACGGAGGCCCAGATGTCACACTGTCAGTGACAGAGGCTGGAGACAGTGGTCGTGTGCAATAGTCATGTGGGCCTTAGGTTGAACTACAGGGAATGTCAAGTGACCGCGGTAGGCACACTTGGGGAGGGGGTGTTCCTTGTCCAGGAAGCTTGTTCCCACAGGGGAAGGGCGAGCCGGGGCCAGAGCACCAGGTGCTCCTCTGAGTGTCCACTCACAGTCCCAGGATGGAGCGAGGCTGGTCACAGCACCACAGGAAGGCAGGACGTTAGGACAGCAAGAAGCGCCTTGCTCTCTCCCAGCTTCTCTTCACCCCATGGGGCCATCTGTTAACTTGGGAGCAGTGGCAGCACCTCCTTAGTATGGCTCTGTCCCCACCTTCCGAATGTGGCTCCCCACGGCCAACCATGACTTCTTTAGGTATCCTGGGACTGCAAGTGGGCAGTTTAGGGTGTGCACCCAGAAGTTGTTTGAAGTGGATCATATCCGTACTTTAATTAAATCTACACTGAGACTATTCCATACCCAAGTTTGAAAATACACTTTCTGTTCTATTTCCCAGCTGAAATACTGTTCAGCCACATTGTTCAGTTTTCCTAGTCAGGCATGCTGCAGGGAGACTGTGTGACAAGACCGTGTAATGGAAATCCAGGAATAGAGTGCCCCCAAATTTAAATGGAACTTGGGGCAGCTGAACTGGAGGTGCCGCTGAGACCTGGTTAAGGACGACACCCTCATTAGGGTGCCATAGCACATGCAGACTTGCAGCTTGCTATTCAGAAACCCTCAGATGCCTAGAAGCGTGGATGATTCTGTTTCCTGCTGTTGTCTGTGCTTCAGCTGTGCCTGCTTAGGAGGGGCCCCGCATGCACTGAAGTCACCTGAGCTGCTAAAGGCCCTCTGCCCAGCCCCCTTGTCCCAGCCTGCCTGCCATCTGGAACGTCCCCTTGTGCTCTGCCTGGCATCGGGAGCCGCCCACTCAGGTGGTTCCCAGAGCTGTGTCCTTCAGTCCCCGCATGCACTCCTGCTTCTGTAGAAGTGGGGACAAGGCTACCATAAATAGCGGATGTCTACCAAGTTTAGAGCCCGCATGTGGAGGAGGGCTTGTGCAGGCCAGAGCAGTTATCTTGACACAGGCCTCTCCACGCTGTCTGGTTGCAGCACCCCCCACCTCGAGTGCAGGCTGCACACGCTTGCCTGGGTCCAGCCAGGCTTGTCGCCGTGTCTGCTTAGGTACCCGCGCTCTACTCTGATCTACTCACTCCTCCGTCCAGCTAGTGCACAGCCCCCAGAGATGCAGGATGCTCTTTCCTCTCTGCCCGAGCTTCCAAAGAAGTTGGAAATTAATGAGCACAAGGATCACTGAATCAGCTTTTCCTGATAATGGAGTGAGGATGATGTAGCATGGCGCGAGGGTGAGAGGTACCTGCTAAGGGGACCCCGAATAAGCAGGTTGTGACTAAGCACCCCAGGAGGGGGGCCTGGGGCAACCTGGCCAGATAACAAGTGCAGTGCAGAGGACGACAGGCTCCATGTGACACATGCAGCATCGAGGACGCTGTGTAGACGGGCTACCTGTGACACTTTGATGACGTTGTGTAGACAGGCTCCCTGCAACTTGTGCAGTGTGGAGGGTGCTGTGTAGACGGGCTCCCTGTGACACTTTGATGATGCGGTGTAGATGAGCTTCCTATGATACTTTGATGATGCTGTGTAGACAGGCTCCCTGTGACACCGATGAAGCTGTATAGACAGGCTCCTGTGACACGTGAGGCATGAGGGGACATGCTTGGTAGGATGCTCTCTCCTGGAAAGGGTACGCTGAGGCGCTGCTCTCCGCAGTGATGCCCCCTCAGTAAGTCGTTTGACTTCCTGGGGCTGAATGAGTCCAGTGGATCAAGCTTGGGAGAGGCCTGGCATTCTCCTTCCCAGGAAGAGGCACTGGAGTGTGATGACATGGTCACCACCAGGTCACACCACATTCCTTTTATCTGCCCTGAGACAGCAGGGCACAGAGGGACTCTTGCTCTCCCCTGTTTGCAGGTGACCCTGTGTGCCTTGCCTCAGCCTTGACATGCTTTCCCTGTGCAGCTTCCGTGGCACCCAGTGGGCAGTGGGTGGTCTGCTTTGGAAGTCTCCGTGCACTGTCTTGTGGAACAAAGGGGAGTTTTCTTCACCTTCCATCATCATAGGTCCATCTGCCTCCACCTTGTGCCCCAGGCCTCGCCTCCCTGCACTTAGACTAGCCAGATGGGTGTTGACTTGAGTGCTATGGGTTTCCCCCTCAGGAACCCCATGACTATTAATCTGTAAGTGACTTGGGCAAGTCTCTTTTCTCTGGGACTCAGCTGTTCCTGTATGAAGGGAGAAGGTTTGCTTAGCTGATGGTTTTGAGGTTGGCCCCACGTGTCCATGCATTTTCTTCCTGGTGTCCAGGAACAAGAGCGGGGTTAACTGGGGTGTAGGGTGCAGCTCCCAACAGCAGGAAGTGTGCAGGGGGCCCAGCAGGAGGAGGAATCTCTATGGAGCCTACTGCTGTCCAGCACCTCTTATCTGCCCAGGCCACTTCCCATTGCTCAGTGGGGTCAGGATCCCCCCAACTCCACAGTTGTCCTTGTTGCTGATCCCTTTCTCTCTGTTTAATGTAAAGTCTTCTTGGAGGACTTGTGCCAAAACCTGCGTGGTGACGGTCATGTCAGCAGGAAGAGGTGGGTGAGAATCAATAGTTTTTATGCAGGGCCTTGAGAAGCAGGCTTGATATCCTGATGGGCTCATCAGCACTGACCCATGGACCCACACCCCATGTCCCAGGTGCTGGGCAGTGTGGCAGATGTAGGCCGGGTTGTGGGTACCTGCCTGTCTTCAGCTCTCTGGGGTTCATTGAGAATTCCTGCATTTACCTAGGATCCTTCCTGTGGCCCCTTGCCTGGCATGGCCCTATGTCTGGATCTACCTTAGAGCCTCCCATACCCCATCCTTTCCGCACCCTGTTTCCCAGTGCCTCTGGGTAGTGCTCTGTTCCTGGTGACTACTTGCTAAATGGATAAACTGTTGGGTACCATTGAGATCCTGCTGCCAGGTACCACATACCCCATCCTCAGAGCCTTCCGCCCAGGGGTAAAGTGTTCAAGGCATCTGGAAGACCAGGGGGTGGGGGGGCGAGGGCTATCGGCAGGAGAGGCTTGCTCAGAGGTGAGCAGGTGAGGGGCGGCCAGCTGAGCCAAGGGCTCACCCTTCTCTTGCCTGCATCACAGTGTTCTTGTCAAAGCCACTGGGAGGTAGGGGGGCCCCCATGTGTGCATGTGTGCATGTCTCCTCCCCGGATGTGTGGCTCACCCTCTCCCCTGTCTCCACAGTGGGCTACGGCTCCTGGTTTGAGCATGTGCAGGAGTTCTGGGAACACCGCATGGACTCGAACGTGCTTTTCCTCAAGTATGAAGACATGCACCGGGTGAGTGCCATGGGGGCTGCCGTGCACGGGGACTCTGTGGCCTCGGCCCCTCAACTCCTGATGCTGGAGCCGCCCATGGACTGCATGCAGGCATGTGGAAGCTGCTTGCTCCACGAAGACCACAGGGGGTATCGCCACAGGTGCCTGGCTCAGCCCCTCCAAACCCTGAGCTTTAGGGACAAATGTGGGACTCTGAGGAGTTCCCCGCTGTGGCCAGTGCTTCAGCATCCAGCCTGCATTCTGCCCTGCTCTGGCCCCTCTCCCAGGACAGTTTCCAAGCTGGGTAATGTGATGCATTGCTGTGGACAGCCCCATTCATTCGGTTTCTTGCCTTAACAGTAGCAGTAGAGCAGCTGGCTTTGCCTGCTGCCCCGACACTCTCTCCCCCAGGGGCAGTTTTGTGGCAAAGTGCTGCAGTGGCAGAGTCCAGATCTCAGCCGCGTGCCTCAGCACAGTATTATGCTGCTGACCAGCCCTGTGGGGCTGCCTGTGAGTCATTGTCAGGGAGCACCTGGCACGGTCCCAGGCAAAGGCCATGTGCTAGTGTGGATGCATGTATCATGTGCTGGGCTCTGCTGTATAGAGCTGGTGGAGGAGCTGAGCAGGGCCTCGCCGGACCTGGCTTTTTGTGACTGCTCTTCTCTGCCAGTGTCTTCTGCTTTCTCTGCTCCATTGTGCTGCAGAGCCCACAACCTGTCTCCCTGTCTCCTCTCCCAGCGCACTCTGTTCCCCAGGCTGCCTTGTCAGGGTCCCGGTGACCTCCACGGTGCTATCGCTGGCGGTGGTGCTCGAGTCTCCTCTCGCCTTGCCTCCTGGCACATTTGTCGTGGCCACTGCTTCCTTCCCTGGCTGCCAGGTGCCACCCTCTGCCAGTGGATGCCCTCCTCTGCCGATTCCCCTCCTCTCCTCAACTTTAGATGGTGGCCCGCCCAAGGCCTGCCCTCCACCCGCGTCTCTCCCCATCCCTGCTCACTCCCCTGTGCGTCTGTCCATTCCCAGGCTTGGACTACCACAGCCACACTGGACATCAGACCAGGCGTGCGCCCCCCAGATGTATCAACGTGATGACTGGCCCGCCCAAGGCCTGCCCTCCACCCGCGTCTCTCCCCATCCCTGCTCACTCCCCTGTGCATCTGTCCATTCCCAGGCTTGGACTACCACAGCCACACTGGACATCAGACCAGGCGTGCGCCCCCCAGATGTATCCACGTGATGATTGACGGAGACCGTGGACTTACCGCGTCCACACCCAGCTCTGGAGCATGCCCCCAGGGCCCCTGCCCCCAAGGGTGTTTATGGTGGCTGACTCCACCATGTGTGTTGTTAGGGCAGGAAGTCTTGAATCCCCTTGTCATCTTTCTTTCACACCCTACATCCTTGTTTCAAATCCTGTTGGCTCTTCCTTCAAATTGTATCCCTCACCTGACCTGTTCTCCCCAGTGGCTCATGTCAGCGCCGACTGTAGCCTGGATAATTGCAGTGCACCCCTGAGCGGCTCCCTGGAAAAACTCGAGTCAGATCGTGTTCCTCCTCGGCCCCGGTGTCACTTGGTAAACTCAGGTCCACGACAGCCCACAGGTTCCTGGTCATGTGACTGGAAGGGACCTCCCTGCTGTTCCTTGAACCTGTCTGGCCAGCTTCCATTTCAGGGTCGTTAGGTCTCCTCTGCCCCGTCCGGAACGTTCTTCCCTCAGATACCCTCATGGTCTCTGCCTCACTTCTTTCAGGGCTCGGCTCACATGTCACCCTGTCAAGGAGACCTTCCCTGACCTGTACTTAAATCAGAGCCCCTTCCTCCCCGGCACCTGTCCTGCCTGCTTTGCTTCTCCCCAGCATCTGTCACCACCTGACGTGCGTCACTGTCTGTGTCTTCCTCTTAGCCACCGTCTCCCCTGCTCCACTGGGGTGGCATCTCTGTCTGTCTTGCTCATGCACCTCAGTCAGTGGCTCTCAGTAAATATGTATTGAATGAATGAACGTCCCTGGGGGTGGAAACTCTCCTGCTGCTTACCACAAGAAGCCGAGGTACCGGGAGCGGAGCCGGGGCATTGCTGTGCGGCTGGTGTGCGGTGGAGCTGGGCTCTGCCCCAGCACGCGCTCCTGCCCACGGCCCTGCAGTGAAGAGACGCTCTCAGCAGTGTCACCAGGGGGTGCAGGCTGCCACCTGGGCTGGCGGGAGCAGGTTTACTCGTCAGTATGAGGAGGACGGCACGAGGCAGACAGGACCTGCCCTTCTGACTGAGGCTGTGGCCTGAGCAGAGCTATGCATTGCCTGTTGTGTTCGAGGAGTATAAGTGGTCAGGGGTGGCAAGGATTGGGATAGGAAGGGGGAGGGGACTTGGCTAGAGGTAACATTAGAGAGGTAGGCAGGGTCCAGTATGGAATTTGGACTTGGTCCTAGGGATCTCATAGGAAATGTGAAAGGAGGAGCAAGCTGTACATGAAAATGTGTTCACTTTTGGCTGTGTTGAGTTTGGTAGCCTGTGGGACACCCAGTGGGACGCCCATGAGCTGGTGGCCGGATGATTCTGGAGCTCGAGGACAGGGCCGGGGAGAGCTTCAGAGGTGAGAGGTCCTTAGTGAGTGAGTGGTGCCCATCATTCAGTGGCCCTCAGGAGCCTGCCTCCCAGTGCCGTGCCCTCTCCACTGTGACTCTGGACAGGTCCCTGTGAATTTGAGGCCAGTGGGACATCAGTGCACATACTGCAGGTGGAGCTGCGTAAGTGCTCTCAGAGGGCTCACTCTGGCAGAATGCCGCCGCCATCTGTGGACCCCCAGGCTGCATGCCGGGGAAGCTGTGGGCAGGAAGATGGTGGCCCCAGTTGACTGCCAGACGTGGGCAAGGCCGTGTGGGACCTTTTGGTTCTGGGGGTCCTGCCAGATGCCTGCAGCCCCATGAGGGACTCAGTGAGACCAGCCCATGTCGTGGAGTTGTGAACACGTAGAGGGTGGCGGTTCCAGCCACTGAGTTTGGTCATGCGGCAGTGTGTGAGTGACCCTTGGGTCCCTGTCTCCACAAGAGGAAGAGGATCTTGAAAAGGGACAGAGAAGGGGACAGTTAGTGAGCAGGAAGGAGAGGCAGAGGGAGCAGCCTGGGAAAACCAGGTCAGGGACAGGGGGGCGAGGTCAGCAGTGCTGTGCATGGTTGAGGAACCCGTCAGGGCAGATGTGGAGAGGGGCTGGGGCTGGGGGCTCGGGAGCTCTTGCTGGTGGTGGCTGATGGGCGCTGAGGAGAGGCTGTTATTTGGCTGAGGGATGAGGTAGCTTGTAGTTTGAGGAGCCCAGGTTCGAGAGAGTTTCTTTCTTCTGTAAAGCACAGGAGAGACGTGAGCATTTTCTAGGTGTTGGGAGAAGGCAGGAGGAGAGGAGGGGTTGGAAATAATGAAGGGACGATGGTCCTAGTCCAGGAAGAGGCAGGAGGGTGGGGCTGGAGCATGGGTAGAGGAGTGTCCATTGGTGGGCGGGGCAGGCAGGGGACCCGTGTCACCTGGACTTTGGGAAAGAGGAGGGAGGATGGGGATGGGGACCAAGAGGGAGCTCGTGTGAGCCGTGGCCAGAGCCAGGGCTGGGGGACTGTGTCGGCGCAGTGGACAGACAAGAGGCAGGCTGTGGGCGCTGCTGGTGACAGTGGCTGCCACAGCACACAGGTAGGTTTAGACTGAATAGCAGTGGGGTTGGAGCCAGGGACAGGGAGGAGGGCGGCAGGGAGAGAAGAGGAGAGCACCGAGAGACAGACGTGGCAGTCAGTCATCGGGGGTCGGGGTTAAGAATCTCAGGGGCGGTAAGGCCAGCCATCTGCCGCTCCCCGTATGGGAAGAGTCCAGGTGGATTAAAGACGTAAATGTGGAAAGAAGCACAGATCATCTGCATGGTGTGGGGTCAGGCATGCTCACTGTGCGCTTGCTGCAGTGATTCCTAGGCTCCCTCAGGCGTTTGCGGGTCCCCGAGCACCAAGCCCTGTGACTGTGACAGGCCAGGTCCTGCCTTTGCAAGCGCATGGCCTTTTCAGGGCTTGTCCAGAGGCGGGAAAGTATCTGTGTGCCTGTGTGCCGCCTGCTGGTGCTTTCTGTGGTTTACCAGTTGAATCCTTAGCACGACCCTTTGTTACAGATGGGGACACAGGCGACAGAGGTTACATGTGAGGCCTCTCGAAGGTCGCACACACAGCCAGGCAGTGCTGAGCCAGCAGCACAGGCGAGCCCGTCTCCATGTCTAGGCTCCATGTCTAGGCTCCATGTCTGGTCCCCACCTCCTGTCTGCCCCTTGTCCACATGACTTAAGACAGATCCTCATTAAGGGTCCCTGCCCACAGACTGACAGTGTGGTTGAGGGGAGAGCATGGCTCAAGCTGAGGCGGCTTCTGGCTCTGCTGCTGACCTCTGTGAGGCCAATGGCCCTGGCCTCCCATGGTGCTGGGGAAAGTCCCGGGCACTGGATTTGGGGATGCTCGGGCCCTAGTTATGACCTCTCCAGGCCTTTGAGAATGGGAGAGATGACAGCTCCCACCGCACAGTGTTGCTGGGAGGATTGTGTGAGGCCTCCTCTACACACAGGCCTGCCTGGCAGTTAAGTGAACACCCAAGACGTGCTTACTGTCCTTTGTACTCTTTGTGGAGGTGTAACTTCTATACAGTAAGTATACAAACCACAAGTGCACAGCTTGACAACTTGTTCCTTGTAACATCAGTGTAAACACCACCCAGATCCACATGCCGAACATTCTCGCTTCTTCCGGCTGACACCCCTGCTTCACAGAGGTCACTGCCATCCCGACCTGTCTCGCCAAAGCTCAGTGTTGCCAGCTTCTGAGCCTCCATTTTGGTGGAGTCATGTCGTGTGAGCCTCGGGCTCTGGCTGCTCCTGCTCAGCGTCATGGCGTGAGGTCTGTCCATCTGTGTGCAGCCATGGTCTGTTCTCTTTCATTTCTGTGAGGTGCTCCGTGGCAGCATGAACTTGCCATGGTCCATTCATCCCTTCAGTGTTGCTAGGCAGTCGGGTCGTTTCCATGTTGGGGTGGTTATGAATAAAGCTGCTCGTGTGCTGGTGGACATCAGTGTTCTTATTTATTGGGCCTCTGCCCAGGTGTGGAATTTTTGTCTTTTTTTTTTTTTTTGTCTTTTTCCGTGTCCGGCAACGGATCGCAACCCTCAGTGTTGCCCCCGTACCGGACCGGGGACCGGCAACGGGATTGCAACCCTCGGTGTTGCTCCCGCGCCTCGCTCAGCCAGTGAGCGGGAACCGGTCCGTATGTGGGATCCGAACCCTCAGGCGGGAGCGCCGCCACGCTTCCCAAGCGGCGCACTTATCCAGTGCGCCACCGGGCCAGCCCCCAGGTGTGGAATTTTTGGGTCACTGGTTGTGCGTCTGGCAGCAGCTGTTATCATGTCATTGGGACACGGCAGTGGGAGCATCTGCTGCCCGCGGCCAGGGAGGGGTCCAGCCTGAGAAGGTGACAGGAGGAGCCTCCAGCCCACTAGCTGCACACACACCTGCAGGGCAGGTGCCAGCTGAGCAGCTGCTTCCTAGAACTTCAGCTGACTCAGTGATAAGGGACTGGAACAGTATTTGGTTATTAAACCTTGAGGGAATGCAGACTGTAGCTGAGCCTTAAAGCCAAACACAAACTTTTGTCCCAGCCCCTGGAGGGTAAATTCATTCTTCTGCTTTCCGGGCTCCTCAGTGAAGGAGGTCAGACTGTGCATTCCGTCCATCAGAGTCAAGGCCGTCAGCCCTGCCTGCGCTGGTCGGAGCTGCTGGACCAGCGCCTGGACTCGCTGTTCTACCACAGCCTGTCTGAATGACTAATGCTGGAGGTCAGACTGTGCATTCCGTCCATCAGAGTCAAGGCCGTCAGCCCTGCCTGCGCTGGTCAGAGCTGCTGGACCAGCGCCTGGACTCGCTGTTCTACCACAGCCTGTCTGAATGACTAATGCCGTCCCTGAAACAGCCAGCACTTTAGCTCCTAACTGGTATCTATTGTTTTTTCAGAAAGCTCAGTAATGGTATGGGATGTCTTTAATGGAGATTAAGTGACTGTAATCACATTTTTAGGAATTAATATTGTTTACATTTTACTCCAGAAAACTAACCCTGAGTGAACATTGTGGGTCTCCAGGATTGTGGAATGGGTCCGGTGTGTTCTCATGCTGGTGTTTAATGGTGACACTTGTGCTGGAGCTCTCATTGCCTTGGGCACCTGGGGGCTTCCCACGCCCCCACCTTCCTCTGCCTCTACTGCCTGTCCTGGAGGTAGCTGTGCCTATGCCCTGGGCACTGTGCCAGGTGACCCCAGGGCATCACCCCACTTCATCCTTGCAGGCACCATGTGGGGTGTTTTCACCAGTCATGGGGGAGGTGCCCCCGACGAGGACTGGGTGGCCAGTGCCAGGACATGACCCCAGCTTGCTGGCTCCATGACACGGTGCATGGCCTCTTGCTGTAGCCCTGTGCAGGTGGCTGCCACCATCCCTGGTTACAGATGGGGAGCATGAGGCTCAGCCAGCGGAAGCGAGTCGTCTAGAGCTAGTCGAGCTGGGGGCTGTCTGATTCCGAGCTTGGTTTCGAAGCCATCGAGCAGATGTGTGATGTGTGGCTGGGTGCAGATTGTTGAAATGTACCGTCCTCTGAGATGGGTGTCACACTGTCGATGAGCTGTCCTGATCAGGACCCTGTGGGCCACTTCAGCAGTCTGTGTTTACAGGCCGACAGCAGCCCTCCCCTTACGGCGTCTTTTCCGAGGGCCGGGTCTCTTCAGTCTCTCTGTTGCTCTGTTTTCTCTCGCGCGGAGTGCTCGGTGGCAGGTGAGTGAGAGCTCGCTCACTGGGTCTCTGCTCACTCTCCTCTCTGTTGCACCCGCTCCAGCCGTCGAGCTCTGTGCGCAGGGTTGCGGAGCTGGGCGCCGTGCCTTTCCTTGGGAGGCAGCCGTGAGGCAGGACACAGAGTCTGGTGGTAATTGCTGCGACGTCCTTACCACAGGGGTCCGGGGAGGAGCTGACACTTAAACCGGCCTTCACAGAACGTTTTCTTTTAAGGTTTGAGAAATGCTGCATTAAAGAAAGTAAACAGGTTTTGTTATTGCAGGACTGCCCAGAGGCTTTGATGTGTGGCTTTGCTTTGTAAACCTTCACGAGAGAGAATAGCCTCCAGTTTTCCTAATGTGGACCAAGGTGCCTGCCAGCATTTGGGGACTACCTAGTGACAGCTCAGGGTTCTGACTGGTGCTAGGTGGTGCCTCGCATCTCCCAGGGAGAAAGTGGCAGTCGTGTGTGGAGAGCAGGCGTGTGTTCTCTCTATACCGTCAGCGGGTCAGTGATGTTTCACTACTGGGCGTGTTGGGAGGACCGGGCCCTTGTGCGTCTTTGTGTCCAGCCTGCAGGTGTGACGGGACCTTGCTTCCGTTTGAGCTGGCCTCCTGCTGGTGAGGTGGCCCGGGCACCCATCCAGAGGCCTCAGGGGCCTCCTTGTTCTCCCGAGGCTCGGTCTGGATTCCGGCTGCTGGGGCGGCGGGAAGTGGGGAGAGCGCCAGCTAGACTTCGCTCTTCACACAGTTGTGAAGAACGTTTTTACTTCCTGCTGCTGTTTAAAAATTAACCACAGCTCTATCAAGACCTCAAGTCTGCCTTGGAATTCCTGGGGGACCTGGGTTTGAATTCCAGAACTGCCACTTGAGAGCCAAGTGCCTGGGGCAATTTTTTAACTTCTCAATTTTATTTCCAGACAAGGCCGACGTCAGCCTTGATTTAAGCATCGTGTGAGGAAGGTCGGGTATGAAAAGTCCCTAGCTGTGCCCAGCCCGGAGTCGTACAGTGAAAGGTGCCGCCTCTGATGGCCTGCTCTGCTCTCTGCCCTGTCTTCCAGGACCTGGTGATGATGGTGGAGCAGCTGGCCAGATTCCTGGGGGTGTCTTGTGACAAGGCCCAGCTGGAGTCCCTGATCGAGCACTGCCACCAGCTGGTGGACCAGTGCTGCAACGCTGAGGCCCTGCCTGTGGGCCGAGGTACATGTCCCCTCCCCTCCCCACCTGGTTCTCTGCTCCATCCCATCTTCTTTCTCTGTCCCAGCTCAGGGAACCAGGTCCTTGTTCCCCACCCCCATCAGTACCCTCATGCTTTCTGGACTGTTGTCTGCCCTCTTTAGCAGTACTTAGCTGGCCTGTGTCCTGTGCCTGGGCAAGGCGGTTGAGACCTGGCACCTGTTGATGGTGTGGTACTGGTGGAGTGATGGAGAGCTCTGCCCGCTGGTATTTGCCTTGTAACTGAGCAAACAGTGTTTTAATTTAGAGGCAACTGCTGGGGATGTTTCAGCCTTTGTGGGCAAGATGCAGGGGACCTTGCCAGATGGCCTGAAGTCAAATGCCCCACAGAGGGGATGGGTTTGGTGCCATGAAATTTCAAAGCAAGAGGCGTGCTGATGGATTCCTCAGCCTTTAATTGGCTTTGGGGGGAGTTAAATTAAGTGGACAGGGGGACAGTCACCACATGAGGAGATGCTGCTTTCCTTCCTTTACCCAGTGGACATTGACTGAGTACCTCTGGGTGCAAGTGGTGCAGACGAGGAGTAGCCCATCCTCAGGGCAGGCAAGCGTGAGTAGATCATGCAGGGCATGCGCAGAGGTGGCCGGGCTGGTGCTGGCTCTTGGCAAGTGAAACTTAGTGGGCGTGAAGCAGTTGGAGATGGGGAAGATACTCCAGGCAGGAATCCTCCCTAGATCCGCCTGGTTGCTCTCCCTGTCCTTACTGGTGCACGGCATCTGATGCTGCTTGATGGTGGAGGGCTCAGACATTCAAATCCCCTGAACTGCAGGGTGGTGGACGTGACTGTGTAAGCCCCCTGCTTGGTAAGTGTGAGTCACGTCTACACATGGTGCTGAAGACCTGAAGCAGGTTCCAGGCAGTGTGAACTGGCAGCTTCCTCGGGTGATGGGGTTGTGTGGAAGGTGGGCCCGGAAGTGCTGCAGCAGGTGTAAGATGTAGCAGGAGATAGCTGGGGTGGGCCAGGGGAGGGCCGGGCTCTGGTCACAGCTCTGCCGCCCCCTAGGGACAGGACTTAGGTGAGCCTCTCTCTGCAGCTTCCCTTCCTCTAAAAGGGGCCGATCAAGGCTGACAGCAGTTCTGAAGGTCAAGTGCAGGGCACCTTCCTTGGAAAGGCAGAGCAACCGACTCTTTCAGGAAGAAGTTAACTGAACCAAGATACCTTGTGATTTATTTCCTGGCTGCATCTTCACAAATATTTATTATTTGAAATTTATTTGCTCTTTTTTAGTTTTGCTTTTGCTGTGTTTTGTTATCCTTGGATGTGACCTTCTCCAAAATATTGCTTTTGGTTCGTTTGTGTGGTAAAGAAGTGTCGAGAACATACTGTGTGCCCATATGCTCCTTCTGATGCGTTTGCTTTATCCTTGTTTACCTTGGTTTTGCTTTATTTCAGTTCTTTGATTTTGTTTTCTTTTAGCACTTTGCCTCTTTGCTCGGAAGACCTCCTTGAGCTGGTGAGAATGCAGGGGCTCCATAGCCAGCTGCATTGCTTACATTTCATTCATGTCACAGCATAAATTGTCTTGGTTCCAAACCCTAAGCCAGGTGGGTGACTCCTTCGGTGAGCTCTCAACTGAGAAAAATAATCATGGAAAAATATATTTAGAGTGTGGTTGGTCTAGAAGCTTCCAGTTTTGTCCCTTAGGTATCATTAGGTTAGCAAGAACAGTTTTTTTTTCTTTTTTTTTTTTTTTTCTCTCCAACACTGATAGGTAATTTTTCATTACCAAAGAGAAAATCCTTGTTGTGTTGGATATTTTAGCTCAGCATTTGCAGGGTTGCAGTTTCATACCTGAGGTCCTGAGGGACAAGGACAAACATTAATAATGGAGCTAATGAAGGATATTTGCTGGAGATGGTCAGAGCTCTGATCTCCCAGACGCTGACAGTGGGAAGAATTCTAAACAAGCATCTCAGTCCCTGAGTGGCTATTTAACAACACAGAGCCAGTGTGCACCAGTGATGTGTTCACAGCTCCCAGGAAGAGGAAGTTCAGAAGCCCCACTCCTGACACTTTCAGAGTCACCATTCCTGTTGGATGAGACTGACCTAAGGCCCAGTAGTTAACAAGGAAAGTAGGGTTGCTGGCTTCCATTGTCATTTTTAGCATTTTTTTCTTCCCTAAGCCTCCACAAACTGGTGCAGACCAGTGTCTGCAATGAGTCTGCAGCGCATCTTCGCAGCTGCCAGGAAGAGACCTGGTTTCTGGCCATGCCTGCAGCAGAGCTGCTGGGGTCTCCATGTGAATCTGGGGTCCTTGCTGCAGTGCACCTTTTGCACCGGTCTCCACAGCTGTGTATGCCAGGACTGTTTTACTTACTTTAAATCCCCCCAGGGTCCGCAATGGCGGGCTTCTTGAAATCTTCACCCTTAGCCCAGTTGGGAGGTCTTCCTCCTTGCCATAAAATTTTCTGCCTTTTGGGTCTTTTTTTTTTTTCCTTTTTTAAATTCTCCGGAAACAAATGACGTCTTGGTGGAGCTGTTGAGCCGTGAATGAATAAGGTACTGTGAGGATCCAAAGCCCACGTGGTACCCAAGCAGTACATTCATTCAGTAGATGTTATTCCTTCTCTGGAATGTTTGTTAAATGCCCACTGTGTGCCAGGTGCTGCTCTAGGTGCTGAGATTCCACAGTGACGAGGCAAAATCCCTCCTGGTGGGCCACAGGTGTGGGCCTGTGTGTGCAGGCTCATCAGGTGAGCACATGGCACCAGCAAGGGGGGTGGGTCACTCCAACACAGACTCAGAGGGAAGTTGGTTCAGTTCATGTTCTGCCATATCCAGTTGTTTCAAAAGCATAATGGGACCCTACTGGTGTGTAGCTCAGATGGCCCATCCTGCCCCAATAGGCCAAGTTCAGCAGAGTCCAGGAAAAGATCTGGAACCTCCCAGATCCATTTCCAAATTTTCCTCTCTCTCATTTGTGTTTCAGGAAGAGTTGGGCTGTGGAAGGACATCTTCACCGTCTCCATGAACGAGAAATTTGATTTGGTGTATAAACAGAAGATGGGAAAGTGTGACCTCGTGTTTGACTTTTATTTATAATAAAAGAAACAGCAAACTTGCATGCTTACAATACCCAGACACTCTACTAGCTAAAAGTCCTGTATGCATTCATGTATTACTTGCTGGACAACTGTGGAAGCAATGTAAAACAGCAGAGGGAAGGAAACCGGAGAAATGGGAGGAAGTGTGTGATTTCTGATCCAAAGCAGCTGTCTGGCCTTTAGAGTTTGAAGTCTCTACATGTCTGATGACAAACATATAAAACTGCAGCTCCGATGGCCTGCACCATAAGTATAAAGTCTGTAACACATGCAGCTGGAATGTCTGCCTTTTACAACCCCATATAATTTATTGTATTTTATAGAGCTTTTCACTGGGAATCTAAATAAATGTCAGTAAACCAAATGAGTTCATTTCCGAGGGGAATCAAGAGCGAGCCACACAGGATTGGTAGAAAGATCTCAGGGTTAACTATTTTTGTAGTTTCATTATCTAAGGCACAGCCGTTTGGTTCTCACTTGGTTCTGGGATAATGGTGAGAACGAAGGAGGAGCCGGGGGCGGGGTGGGAAGCTGGAAGCCTGTTTATTCTGATAGAACTCATTCCTCTAACCTTTCTGAAGGAACGCAGGAACCATTCACAGGATCATTTTCAGAAGGGCTGCCCCTCTGGCGGCGGCTCTGAAGCCAGGAGCATGCCCTGAGGGAGGCGCGTGGCAGCCGCCGGGCTCCGGCTCGGGCTCCTGCTCGGGCTCCTGCTCGGGCTTTGAAGCCAGGAGCATGCCCTGAGGGAGGCGCGTGGCAGCCGCCGGGCTCCGGCTCGGGCTCCGGCTCGGGCTCCTGCTCGGGCTCCTGCTCGGGCTCGGGCTCCGGCAGTGGCGTGTGAGTGCAGAGACGGGGACCTGCCACAGACAGACCGCAGTGCGCTCGCACTCGAGTTTCGTTCTGCAGCCGTAACTGCTGTTCCCTGAAGCAGTACCTACTTACTCTGGCAAGCAGATGCTTAATGGGAAATTTCTAAAATTCCTGCATCTTCATCATTCAGTGTGTCCGTCTGTGCTGAGGCACTCAACTGTGGGAGGATCATTTTGGGAGTTTAATGCCCTATTTCACTCAGATTGGGTTGACAATCCCACCTTTGTCTCTATCCACCCCATACCTCAGTCTGTCTGAGGGAGTAAAGGTGGGGTTTGTGTTACCCCCCACCTGCTTAACTTTCTGGCCCAAATTCAGCTGGAAGAAGTGATGGAGAGACGGGCAGATGAGAAGCGGGCCGGCAGCCAGTTTGTATGCATGTTGCCGCCATGCGGGGACCGGGGTTGTCTGTTATTATGTGGCGGGGTGCTTAACTTTCTGGCCCAAATTCAGCTGGAAGAAGTGATGGAGAGACGGGCAGATGAGAAGTGGGCCGGCAGCCAGTTTGTATGCATGTTGCCGCCATGCGGGGACCGGGGTTGTCTGTTATTATGTGGCGGGGAAGTGCCGAACGTGGTGGTCAGGAGGGTGGCCACGGTGGGAAGGGGCCGTGTTCTGTGGCTCTGCCTTTGCTACAGGTGCACATGGATGCTTGCGTCCTTGTTTGTAAAGGGGAACATCTTGAACAGGGCGTTGCATGGGGGCTCGGCAGCACCTTTACCATGTATCTGCGAGGGGGCTGCTTTCTGTGAAATTTCATTTCTATTTTTCTATTTGTGGTGCTGTGTGGGTAACACTGAGCACCACACAGGACACTTCTGTGCTTGCTTGCATCTTTAATAAAGACTCGCTCCCTGTTCCCTACATCGTGTCCAGCGTGTGTGCCGGCGGGTGGAGAGGGGGCCCCTGTGGGGTCTGTCCAGCACTTTGGGACAACAGGAGTGTGAGCCCCATTGACACCCCGTTCCCTGGGGTTGACTGCAGAGGAGAACAGGCCCGCATCAGGCTTTGGTGAGGCAGAATTATGCCGTTTCACTGAAATTCAAACTGTCCAAGGGTTGACATCCTTCCACTCTTTCCCATCCACTTCTGATGTCTTTTATAAACAGAGTTGGAGTAGGGGAGAAAGGAGAAAACCTGGGAGGGATTTTGGCACCTGTGTGTCCAGGTGTCCTGACAATTGCAGTTGCCGCCTCTGTTGAGCCCTGATGTCAGCTTCACGCGTGGTGCGGTGGAGACTAACCTGGCCGATTGCGCTTCCCCACTGGGAATTCCAAAGTCTGTCTTCCCGATGTCTTATGGAAGGAAAGTCCAGGACGTTTTCCCTGTGAAAGTTTAGGTTTTCTGGAAAATCATGTTTATTTCAAGTGAGTTACTTCCTCAGGTCTCACATGCAGTCCTAGAATTCTGGTGCATGGCATTAACACAGAGCCTGGGTTTGTTCATTGAGTGTCCAGTCTGCTGTGCCCAGGGGGCCTGCCCTGCAGTCACTGAGCCGCAGCACACAGAGCACCATGGGGAAGCTAGCGACTCCAGAGGCCGGCTGTGCGGCGTAGTCAGGGGCTGGCTTATCACATGATGGCTCTGTCCCTGCTTCGTTGACACTTCAGCTCATTTTATGACTCATTCATTCAGTGGGTTCTTCAGCACCTACTGTGTACCAGGCACTGTTCTAGGCACTGAGGACACAGCAGTGAGGCAGAGACAGCCCCTGCCTCCACGAACTCTGCGTTCCCGTGGGGACGACAAATCAGCCAAACCTCAGGCAAGTCCATGCTCCAGAGAGCTCTCGGGAGCAGCAAATGTGCTCAGGAGGGGCCGGAGGCCTCTGAGGAGCTGAGGCTGGAGCAGGAGGGACCCAGGCATCAGAGGCCTGGGGAGAGCAAGTGTGGGTGGGAGGGACGGGGAGGATGCAGCAGGCTCAAGGGGTGGCCAGGAGCCAGCTCACGAGGGCCTTCCAGGCCACCCACGAGAGTTTGGATTGTGTACTAGGAAATAAGCAGCCACGGGAGGGTTTAATCAGAAGAATGCTACCTGGTTTGCATTTTTAAAAGCTCCCCTGGCTGCTGTGTGATTTGGCTGCAAGGGCAAGTGAGGATTTTATCAGCTCTAGGAGTCTCAGTCCACAAAATGGGGGCAGGGGGCTGCCTTAGACATAAGCAAGTCTCCTTAGCTGGCAGTCTGAGGTTCTGAGTGTTCGTGTGCTGGGTGCTGAGTATTATCGATGGCTCCTGCCTTGCTCACTCAGCTGAGACGAGAATATAAACCAAGGCAAGAAGTGCTGCGAAGACTGAGAAAATCAGACTTGGGAGGATGGAGTCGCCGGTTGGAACAGATGCATCCGAGCTCAGAAGGGATCCTGAGGGTGAGGAATGCCCGGACAGGCAGAGAAGGGGATGTTGTTTTACAAAACAGTCCACTGGAGTATTCCTGAATATCAGGGTTCTCTAAGTGTAAGCCAGTGGTTGCCTGGCTTTTTGATGTCACAGACCAGTAAAATTCTAAAAAGTGTTTTGGGGACCAGCATAGGGTTGCCAACTGTATGTATTTTTTTCAAGGAAGAAACTGAACTCCCAAATGGTAGCGTTCAGCTGCAGCCCTGCCCCAGGCTGGGGAGGGGCTGTGCTCTCCTGGCTCTGACACAGAGACGTTTGTTTTCCTTCCATGTGCCCACTTCGTCTGGGAAGGGACCAGCACATTCCATAGCAGGTAGGTAACTTCACTGCTCTGATCTGGTCACAGTCTACATCTTTGTCCTGCTCACTTCGTACGACGGTTATAATAACAAGAGAGTGGTGAACTTTGAAAGCTTGCATGAAATTCACAAAACTCTTACCAAGTCTGTACCTGCACTATCTTGCTCTCAACCAACCTGTGCCCCCTTATAGCCAAGTTATAGTCACCAGCAGATGTCCTCAGCTTCAGTAGTTGAGAGGTGCGTGGCATTGCTTAGATGGGTGTCTGTGGTGGCAGCACTGCGGAAGGGCGCCACTCAGGCACAGGCGCACGCACCTGCAGGCCCCTCCTGGGAGATCCCGAGTGTGGGAGCTTTTACCCACCTCTCTAGGCTGGGGGACGAGGCTATTTGTAGTGGATGCAGGGAGTCACCAGGCATCTGGCGGCTGCACTGCCAGTCCCATTCTCCCACAGTCAAACCCTGTTCTTGCCCAGCCAACATCTCTTCATCACACAACGTGCATTTTGACACTGGGTTGACACCTCGGTCAGTAGTCCAGCCTGGCGGCTGCACATCCCATCCCTGGTAAGCTCGCTCACTCATGGGACCGCCCATGCCACTCTGAGCCCCCTCTCCAGCCACTTTTGCAAGTGCTCAACCTCGAGATGTTCATGTCCGTGTGCCTGAGCTGCCTGGCCCTGCCTCCTTTATCTGCTGACTGCGTCCCTCACATCTTGGCTGTGGTCCCTTATGCTCCCCATGGCCCCCACTTTCTTCTCTTCACCCCTCCCTTCCTGTTTGCACTTGTGTCCCGCCATGGGCAGTGATGCCCTGAGAACAGTGACTGCACCATGCTGAGCTTTTCTAGGTCGGTGCTTGGCATTCAGTGAGCACCTCGTGTCTGCTGAGTAAATGAATGGTATCTTTCACCATTAGAATTGACGTCCTTTGTCCTGCAAGCCGTCCACCTGCACCTTCTGCACCCTGTCTGGTGGCTCGTGGAGGCTGCGTCTTCCCAAACAGGGCTGGGCTCCTGTCACCTCACCCTGCCTCAACTCCCTGCCGTTGCCCACTCCCATATGTCTGTCTCTTCACTGCCCACGCCCGTGCCCTGGTCCTTCCTGCAGACGCAGCCTGGCCCATGCTCTTCCCTTGTCTGGAACACCCTTTCTAATGGGTCACCGGCCCTCCAGATCTAGCGTAACTGTGGGGCAGGCTGTGTCTCTGCTCTTCCTTCCCCTGCCCTCCTGCCTCTGTCACCAAGCTCAGAAACATGGTGCCCAAAGAGTAGCCGAGATCCTCCTTGCTGTTTCCCATCTCCCTCTCTTCCTGCGTCTCGTTTGGTGTTTACAGAGCACCTGCTCTGTAAGGCCCTGTGCTGAGTCGTGGGGACACAGTCTTGGCACTTCTCCCCTTCCAACTTAGCTCCCCACAGTTCCATCCCTGTGGGGCTCTGTTCTCCATTATTAGCCACATCCAGGGAAAGGGCCTGGTGGGAGCAGAGGACTGGGTTCCAAACTCCTGGTACTTGTCTTTGGCTGGCTGTGTGACCAGCTGAGCCACCTGCCCACTCTCAGCCTTGGTCTCCATATCTGTCAAGTGGTCTCCAAGGTTCCTTCCGGTTGGAGAGTCTCCAGTTTAAGTGAGCTTTCATGGTATCTCTGGTGGCACATGCTTGCTCAGTTTAAACACACACCTCTGCAACAAAGGGGAAAATGCAAGGAGCAGTGCCAAGAGCAAGCACTCGGAGATCCCAGCAGGCGACCAGGAGAGCAGAGAGACTGTTCCACATGAGCTGCAGAGCTTGAGCTGGT